AATGACGAAATAGTTGTAAGATGTAGTATCACTGTCGAGTCCTAGAAGAACGAAAACGCTCTATGATGCAGTTTAATTCAATATTTGGCTCTGCTGTATATTGTAAGAAAATGTGCTATTCGCTTAAATTACACAATGATACGGGAAACGACAGAGCGAGAATAATTTCCTGTCGAAAAAGAATTCCAGCTAAGAAATATTAGAATGATTAGATATCAAAACTTCTTATTTAAAATGTCTTTTTATAGTGGTTCTGTTGAGCATTTTTGATATGCTGATACTGAACCTATTGATATTAATTTTGTATTATTTTAGAAATGAGATGCCGATTTTTAATTTGTATTCTTGCGCATGTAGTTGTTTTGACACTGTAAACGTCTATGATTGATTGGTACATAACTGAATAAAATCTCTTGATTTAATCGATCAATGTCACTGATTTACTGCGATGTTGACATCTTGGAATTGATATGGCAGTGATTATACAACGAATTGACGTGATAAAAATTAATATTGATAACTGATTATCTGTAGATATTGTGTACTGTAATGTTATGAGAGGGCCTAGTATGTTGTGTTATCTGTAGATATTGTGTACAGTAATGTTGGGAGAGGGCCTAGTATGTTGTGTTATCTGTAGATATTGTGTACTGTAATGTTGGGAGAGGGCCTAGTAAGTTGTGTTATCTGTAGATATTGTGTACAGTAATGTTAGGAGAGGGCCTAGTAAATTGTGTTATCTATAGATATTGTGTGTACTGTAATGTTATGAGAGGGCCTAGTATGTTGTGTTATCTGTAGATATTGTGTACAGTAATGTTGTGAGAGGGCCTAGTAAGTTGTGTTATCTGTAGATATTGTGTACAGTAATGTTGGGAGGGGGCCTAGTAAGTTGTGTTATCTGTAGATATTGTGTACTGTAATGTTTGGAGAGGACCTAGTAAGTTGTGTTATCTGTAGATATTGTGTACTGTAATGTTGGGAGAGGGTCTAGTAAGTTGTGTTATCTGTAGATTTTGTGTACTGTAATGTTGGGAGAGGGCCTAGTAAGTTGTGTTATCTGTAGATATTGTGTACTGTAATGTTGGGAGAGGGGTTAGTAAGTTGTGTTATCTGTAGATTTTGTGTACTGTAATGTTGGGAGGGGGCCTAGTAAGTTGTGTTATCTGTAGATATTGTGTACTGTAATGTTGGGAGAGAGCCTAGTAAGTTGTGTTATCTGTAGATATTGTGTACTGTAATGTTGGGAGAGGGGTTAGTAAGTTGTGTTATCTGTAGATATTGTGTACAGTAATGTTAGGAGAGGGCCTAGTAAATTGTGTTATCTATAGATATTGTGTACTGTAATGTTAGGAGAGGGCCTAGTAAATTGTGTTATCTATAGATATTGTGTACTGTAATGTTAGGAGAGGGCCTAGTAAGTTGTGTTATCTGTAGTTATCGTGTACTGTAATGTTAGGAGAGGGGTTAGTATGTTGTGTTGTCTGTAGATATTGTGTACAGCAATGTTGTGAGAGGGCCTAGTAAGTTGTGTTATCTGTAGATATTGTGTACAGTAATGTTAGGAGAGGGCCTAGTAAGTTGTGTTATCTGTAGATATTGTGTATTGTAATGTTGGGAGAGGGCCTAGTAAATTGTGTTATCTATAGATATTGTGTACTGTAATGTTAGGAGAGGGCCTAGTAAGTTGTGTTATCTGTAGATATTGTGTATGGTAATGTTGGGAGAGGGTTTAGTAAATTGTGTTATCTATAGATATTGTGTACTGTAATGTTAGGAGAGGGCCTAGTAAGTTGTGTTATCTGTAGTTATTGTGTACAAACAGACGAGATGTCACATTTTTGTATTTCTAGTTACCATAGTAACACCACAGTAGTTACGTCAATCGATGTATACCTAAAATGTTTTTTTATTTTCATTTCAGGTACTTTACAAATATACAAAAGGTGCAAGTCCCATTCCGAGTGTCCAAGTCACGCTAAATGCCAGCCTAGCGCGTGCGATGGATACACGTGCCGTTGTTTGGAGGGGTATGTTGCTAGTGACGACAGGGACCGTTGTTTAGCGGGTATGTAAAGTTACCAGAAATTTTTGTAATTTTGTTTGCTTGTGTCGTTTGTTTGTTTGTGTTTCTTAATGACATATTTACTCCTTGTATTTGGTGATTTCTAGATATGATTCATTTTATCAGCACGAAATATATATTTTCCAATTGATATGTAATTTTCAATTTTTAGTTTACTCTCACAGATACAGGAGTTGTATACATGTATAATTAGATAAACCTGTACATTTTGTTTTTGTTTATCTATATCACAATTACTGCAGAAAATATTCAAGTTTATGTTATACATGACAAAATATGATATCATGACCTCGTAAACTTGGGTTACATAGGACATTCAAATGGACAGTTAACCATGTGCTATTAAGAAGCTGGGTGTCCAAAAATAAGGATATTGCAAACCCGATGGTTAGAGCTATCAACCTCGTGTAAAGGCTTTGTCGTCCTATACACAGATAACTTGTAATTTATCTACCTGTGCGGGGCGACGTTTATACCGAATGCAAATGTGTATGTATTTGTACATCTGCACTGATTCAACAATTACCAGTCATATAGGTTTTAGACTTTAAAACACTGTTTTAACAAATACTTATGTTATTTGAATTTTTGTATTGTTTCTAAGCGTTGTAAACATAGAGGGAGCTGTATTAAAGTGGATTAATTTCTATAATCATTAACAAAAATGAATATCACGTTGTTTCCTATAACACAGTTGTAATATTAATAAAATGAGATTCCTAAGTGTATTTGTAATTGACAATATCTATGACGTCATTATCGACTATATATAGAGTTGATATTCGGGTGATCAATTACCACCTATCAAAACACCCTTTAACGACCTGTAATTAATTAGGGCATATTTCTGACATTTCTCGATGTTTGATAGACGCTCTGTGCATATATATTACATACTTTGTCTATACAGGTCATCAGGTACGTTATTAAATGGTTTATTGTGATCACCATGGAAACAATGGACTGAGGGGCCGTGTGTTTAATCACTTCATCTCTTCCCACGGGTTATAATCATAACATAAATATGTATACACTGATAAACATGTTCGATAAGCAATATTGCTAAAACGTATATTTTTTTTCTGTATGTCGTTAATTATGTGGTATTTACACACAATCAGGTGACCGATTTCTTGACAATTAATTTCACTCCGCTTAAGGAACTTCACTTTAGCTCGACCGGTTGAGCGTCAGACTAGTAAGTCAGAGGTCCCGAGTTCGAATCCTAGTGCTGGCATTAAGATGAAAAATCTGTTACATTGGCGCCCTAGTAGGGACTAGGAGAAAAGTACTTACTTCCACAAGTACCGCTGTAACCCGCCAGACAACTCGAGGGCGAGGTTTTTCGTAGAAGCAGAGTTGTAACCCTGATAAATACTCGATCGGTTGAGCGTCAGGTTAGTAAACTAGAGGTCCTTAGTTCGAATTCTAAATTTGAAAAGAACAAAAAAAAAAAGACCTACATCACGATATGGTAATACTATTCAATACTATTTCAGGTCGTTTTAGAGCAGAAAATCGTCCCGGTCGACAACTAAATGAATGTTAAGAATTTATAGTACCAATCCTAACGTTCTGATAGGTAGAAATATCTACCAGTGACACCTAGGGACGGCTCTATGCTATAAACAGTGCCGTCATCTTTCGAAACAGCGTCATGCGTGCCGCTATACGACAATTAGATATAATACTGCAAACTTTACAAAATTGACCAGGTGTTCATGAAAATATTCATCAAATTGAATTTGGTGTAAGTCAGGAACTAGCATTGCTCTGGTTTGCAGTGCATTCTCCGAGACGGAACAATATGGCGGAATGCACAAAAGTTGGGGATTATTGTCATATATTCTTAGCAGTCTATCAAAAAGTCGGCATCAGGTGATAATCAGCGAAAGTATTGTAGTGTTATGTTGTGTAGTAAACAAGACGAGTGTAGTCGCCATGCTGTGTATTCAGAAGGAGGCTTATATAGAACCAGGAAGGTACTATGTAAACTAGGATCCGGAGCCGGGCAGTCCGGATTAGGACAATACATCTCTCCCTTTGTCAAAAGAAATTACACGTTATCCTTAACTATTGTGATTTTTTAACTATTAAACTATGAACTCGAAAATAATGTCTTTGTTTTTCTTCGCTGAATAGAAGCATGAACTACATTAATCCATGAAATGGAAAAGGAATACTTTGTCCTAAGTAACTGTCTGTTCAACATAACCGAAACTTTAAAGAATTTAAAAAAAATGCTTAAAATGTCACTGAATATCAACGGAACACTATTAACAATAACAAAACTAACTTTGCCTAGAAACATAACAGGAAGATCTCCTTTCAGCCTGGCTAATTGTTTCTTTGGGGCATTCCGATAAGAGTGCAATTTGCCGGACACAATTTTCTCAATCACTTCCTGGATCGTGTCGTCCTTGCTTGCCTCATCCGCAATCTCTGTTTACTACATGGATTTGTCCTGGCCGTTTCTCTATGTCCTTTGTATGTTCGTCACTTAATTCTAGAGCACGTGCAAGTTTCAGGATATTCTCTAATGACACTTCACCATCCCTTAGAATACGTTTTCTTAAACGACAGGAAGAACACGACTGAATAATTTGAGACTTAATCTCCTCCTCTAACTCGAAAAATTCACAATTTTCACCGAGTTTCCGTAGCCTAGTACTGCATGTCATGATATCCTCTCCTTCCTTTTGTTTTGCTGGTCTAAATTTGTAACGTTCGTACTCAAGGGCTTTCCTGTGGCGTGAAATAAGTTTCGAAAGCATCAACGGCTTGTTTGTACATATGGAGTTGTTCATCCGCTTCAGGCACAGCTAATGGGAGCGTGCTAAAAATGTCCTGTACCTCCTCGCCAGCATAATGTAGTAATAAAGCCTTTTGACGTTGTGGTGGGAGGTTGGTAGCCATGCGGTCAGACGAGAGGTGTACGTTTTACACAAATACCATGGGTAATCGTGGTACATCTTCAGACACTATTACCTAAAATACCTTTAGAAGTTAGCGACATCAAACGATGTATTGGCAATATGGTTATAAGACATCCCTGAACAAAGTCTCATGTTGATATTTGTAAAATTGTTGAGTTTCGGAGAGATACGTTTTCCTTGATCACTGATAGTACACATGTGTATTGGACTTGAGAGCAGTGTCATCTTATTGTGTGTCGATTTAATAGGGAAGAAAATCAATTAGAGGAAAAAAGTTACCCCATAAACGTTTTCTGACTTTTATCAGAGATGTGTATATAACAAACGATCGTATATCGTTTATATTACACGTCAATTTTATGCACAAACCATGTGATTGTTGTGTCGTTTAGTTTTCAACTGTCACATCAAGTCCGCACCAGATAACATAACCATTGTATCAAATGGTGTTAATCATTTGGTCTTTTATACAATCTTCATATCACCCGTGTTTACAGAGATTAAAACTGTAAATATGAAGACAAGAAAAAAAAAAAAAACACAAAACTGAATAAATTTTGAAATGAATATGATAATTCATCAATCAACTTAACATGCTTGTATTGCATTCACAATGTTATGAAATCTTTTTAAAATGCCAAGGGTGATGCATGTTTGTTTTATTATCGTGATCTCGTTGGATAATTTCCTTGTACAATATAATGTGATCTATTCTCGTCAGTACGCCTTATGCTTCCTTTGTTTAACACTTGATTTTCTTGGATTTACCAAGATTTCAATGACAGGTGGCGTCGATGGGACAGAAGAAGCTTACTCTTCTGGAACACCTGGTCTTATTCTCATTGTACTTTTTCAGGAGTCTCCATGTAACTTTGTTTTTATCTTCATATTTTACCATAACTTTATTGAATTTGAATTTATGGTATGTTAGTATGTTGGTATTTTCGTATGTTTAGTAACAGGTGCCATTGAGACATAAAAAGACGCTTGCCATTCATGAACATACGTCGTATTTCTAACGTTTTATTTCATTAACATGCGTCCTATTTCCCATATTTTCCATTTGTCAATCTTCCTGTGTAACCTTCATTTTTACAAGTCTATGTTTCATGTCATATCTGGTTGGCTTGGCCTTACTTATTGCACTTTTTAATCAAATATAATCTTGTTTCTTTTAATCAATGTACCTGATCCACATTTTTCTTTTTTGTGTTGCAGCTAAACGTATGGGTGAAAAATGCGACTGGTTTACGACGAAATGCATGTCTCCATTCTCTCTGTGTCGTGATACATGTGAGTGTTTCGAAGTATTTCTGCGGACGGATGACGGCAGGTGTAAACTGCCGGATGTCGCATACATGGGAGAATCATGCGGAGTAATGCGTGATTGCTTATATCCGTCCGTGTGCAAAAACGGTCGATGTGTTTGTGAGGCTCCTTACAGGGAAATTTCCGAGGAAGAATTCTGGTTGGATCCTGTCAGTCCATTGCAATGTCACAATATCACGTATTCCATACGTAAGTGAAAATTCAAACTCTCACTACAAACGTGTGTTTAACTAAAATATAATTAAACGAGGTAATGAAGGGTAGAGAATTCAAGGAAATGCTACAACGTAAATGTTAACTAAATTCATTCTGTTCTGTAGAAATTTGAAAGGAAATTCACATAAATTATAGAATTTTAAAAGATGCTGCAATAAAAACAAACCGAAAACATTAACAAATTACTTGAAAAAATATTTGAAGCTACATAATGGATGACTGGGAAAATATACAAAGGATATATATTCTGTTCTTTAGATACCTGCAACGGAACTGAAATAGAAATACCGCCTGGGTTATTGCCTACAACTACCACCACGACAACTCCTACAACCACAACGACAACTCCCACAACTACCACGACAACTCCTACAACTACCACGACAACTCCTACAACTACCACGACAACGCCTACAACTACCACGACAACTCCCACAACTACCACGACAACTCCCACAACTACCACGACAACTCCCACAACTACCACGACAACTCCCACAACTACCACGACAACTCCTACAACTACCACGACAACTCCCACAACTACCACAACTCCCACAACTACCACGACAACGCCTACAACTACCACGACAACTCCTACAACTACCACGACAACTACCACTACAACACCTACAACTACCACTACACCTACAACTACCACTACACCTACAACTACCACTACAACACCTACAACTACCACTACAACACCTACAACTACCACTACACCTACAACTACCACTACAACACCTACAACTACCACTACAACACCTACAACTACCACTACAACACCTACAACTACCACTACAACTACCACGACAACGCCTACAACTACCACGACAACTCCTACAACTACCACGACAACGCCTACAACTACCACGACAACTCCTACAACTACCACGACAACGCCTACAACTACCACGACAACTCCTACAACTACCACGACAACTCCTACAACAACAAGTAAGTGATATGTGATTCAATATATTAAATAATAGAGGTTACTCAATTGATTGGCTTATTAACCGTCTCCATTCTCCTAGATGATTAACTATGACTACCTATTACCAGAAGCATGCACAAAATAATATATCGAACGAATATCTTTTATATATCCTATTATTGTTTCGGTAGGACATAGAGTCCTGGACGCGTATTTTCCCGCTGGGACCAAATCTAGCTTGATATTTCGTTTTAATCTTTAAGCGTTGGGATTCTTCATATTGACCCTCTATTTGCTGTGTGACATGTGATCCCCCATATTGACCCCCTTTCTGCTGTGTGACGTGTAAGCCCCATATTGACCCCCTTTCTGCTGTGTGACGTGTGAGCCCAATATTAACCCTCTTTTTGCTGTGTGACGTGTGATCCCCATATTGACCCCCTTTCTGCTGTGTGACGTGTGAGCCCAATATTGACCTTCTTTTTGCTGTGTGACGTGTGAGCCCCATATTGATCCTCTTTCTGCTTTGTGACGTGTGAGCCCAATATTGACCTTCTTTTTGCTGTGTGACGTGTGAGCCACATATTGACCTTCTTTTTGCTGTGTGACGTGTGAGCCCCATATTGACCCTCTTTTTGCTGTGTGACGTGTTAGCCCCATATTGACCCCCTTTTTTTGCTGTGTGACGTGTGATCCCCATATTGACCCCCTTTTTGCTGTGTGACGTGTGAGCCCCATATTGACCCCCTTTTTGCTGTGTGACTAGTGAGCCCAATATTGACCCCCTTTTTTTGCTGTGTGACGTGTGATCATCCTATCGACTCCCTTTTTGCTGTGTGACGCGTGATCCCTATATTGACCCCCTTTTTGCTGTGTGACATGTGATCCCCATATTGACCCCCTTTTTGCTGTGTGACGTGTGATCCCCATATTGACCCCCTTTTTTGCTGTGTGAGGTGTGATCCCCATATTGACCCCCTTTTTGTTGTGTGACGTGTGATCCCTATATTGACCCCCTTTTTGCTGTGTGACATGTGATCCCCATATTAACCCCCTTTTTGCTGTGTGACGTGTGATCCCCATATAGACCCCTTTTTGCTGTGTGACGTGTGATCCCCATATTGACCCCCTTTTTGCTGTGTGACTAGTGAGCCCAGTATTGACCCCCTTTTTGCTGTGTGACGTGTGATCCCCATATTGACTCCCTTTTTGCTGTGTGACATGTGATCCCCATATTGACCCCCTTTTTGCTGTGTGACGTGTGATCCCCATATTGACTCCCTTTTTGCTGTGTGACGCGTGATCCCCATATTGACCCCCCGTTTTGCTGTGTGACGTGTGATCCCCATATTGACCCTCTGTTTGCTGTGTGACGTGTGATCCCCATATTGACCCCCTTTTTGCTGTGTGACGTGTGATCCCCATATTGACCCCCTTTTTGCTGTGTGACGTATGAGCCCTATATTAACCCTCTTTTTGCTGTGTGAATTGTGATCCCCATATTGACCTCCCTTTATGTTGTAGTTCTCATGAACTTCACTTTGACCCCCTTTCTGATATTTCCATTTGTGAACCTCGAGAAGAAGTCCTCCATGTTTTATCACATATTAACCATTAATGACCTTAATTCCTGCCTCATCACCTACGAACACAGAAGACAACAACATACCTCCAGTTTCATGTGTGAACCTGATAATGACCTTCCGATAACTAATATACAACTTGTTGTATCCCGTAAAATCCCGCCACTAGCTAGACTCCTTCTGCTAATACACCTTTCTTGTTTTTATATTCCCTGAGCATGCAAACTGATATACAAGGTGTGTTTCAAGGTGTTACTAGTATTATTTTTCGGAACAAATACTATTTTGCTCCATTGGATACACCGGAAGTAGTTACCACCGATACATGCGCAAATCGATACCGGAGTTTTTTTAGTATTGTCTCTGAAAACCGAGTCGATAACGAATCGCTTTTCTTTTAATTTTACCGAAATAGTGACGTGCTCAATGTCAAATCGAGACTAATAAATGTATTTATTCAAATGTCACAACGTGTCACAAATTAAAAATACAAACTAAAAATATTTTAGTAAGGTAAATTCTGTTAGATGTTACTGGTTGCATATCTGTGACGATCGGCTTCCTGTGATGTATTTACGGTACAGGCGATGTGATGAGTTTTTTTAATCGGAAATCAAAGCTGCTTAACTCGTACCGACCATATTAGAATCGTTGCGAGAAAAACTCGAGTTTATTTTTATCAGTTACACGACGATTTTCGATGTCTCAGATACCATACAGAAATAGAAACAAACTCATACTTCCTTTCATAATATAACTCTGAATTATTAGTTTTAAATTCCCTCCCAAACAAAGCATCGAAATGTCGTACAGGGTTAATACACAGTGTAGTATATACACTGTGTGTATTCCATCCATGATTCACCATTCAACCACTTAAACTTTCGTGAGCCGAGATTTAGTGATTTTTTTAAAGACTGGTGGATTTTACAATGAAACTGATACATTGCACCCTTTTTTTACTGTAAGAAGGAAATCACCGAACGAAAATAAATGTATGGTTCAGTCGGGTGTTTTTTTCTGACGGAAAAAGAAGTGCTACTTAACTGTAACTCTGAAGGTAAGTTGTCCAAGCGATGTTGATGTCATATCTGGCTTGTACGTCACGCTGCTTTGTTGTCGCTACAAAACACTGTATATATACAGATTCTATATAAATTATTTAAAACGCTATAGTGGTGAGTGTGTGTGTGCGAGGGTGGTGGGGGTTTGGGTGGAGGTCGGGTGGGGGTGGGTAGGGGTGGGTGGGGGTGGTAGGATGGGGGAGATGAGGGGGATATCAACATAATTACACCGCGATCGTTTATAACATACCAGTACATATTAATCTTTATTCCATCACAAGATCTTTAAATAATAAATTTGGGTTATCTTTAATTTTATAATTCTTAAAATGAAAATAAATATGTTACAATTTTTTCTGTATGTTCTCTGCAAAAATAAGAAAGACATACATTTAAACACATGAAGTGAAATAAGAAAAAATGTACTTATTCATTTATCTAATTATTTCTTTGTTTTTAGAAATTGTCAACTTCATTTTTCTTTTGGAATTTAATGTAAATTTTCCATTCTAAAGCAACAGGGTGTGCTTGTTCTTTAGCTTGACATCCGTCGTCCGTCCATAATTTCTTTAAAACACTACCAGTCATAAAAGACTGAGAGGATTTTTACTAAATTTGGTAAGAGGCATCATTTAAGAAGGGGCATTTTTTGATAGATTGTGGGTCAAACCCCATCCGTGACTGAGGGGTGGGGCCAAAAATACAAATATAGCAAATTGGTTGTAGTTTTTTATCTGTAGAAATTAATGTATTCTCTCCTATTTTGGTTAAAAGCATCCCTTGGTAAAGAGAAATCAATTTTGTATAAACTATAGGTCCTTGGACTAGGAAAGACGGGGTCCAGTAGGGAAAATAGAGCCAATCTTCTTTAAATCCGTCTTCTTCAGCAAAGAATATGTCAGAATGCGGTCACAAATTGGTCTGAAGCATCGCTGGGTGGGAGGGCGCAAGTTTGTATAAACATCGGGTTAGTGGGATGGGGCCCAATATTAGAAATATAACCAATTCGATCAAAATCCTTATTCCATCGATGATCAATTTTGTATAGAAAATGAATCTGTGTCCCTTCAGATAAAAGGAGGGAGTGCTCAATATGGAAAATAGAGTATATGTTTTCAATTCCTTCCTTTGATTTAGTGACAGGTTTTTGTCCCAATTTGGTCTAAAACATTCTTGGGTGAACACATTACTGAACAAACGGGACATCAATAGAGGTCCCAGTAGGGAAATTGATATAATAAAAAAAAGTTCAGAATTCCTATCCCTTTAGTTCAGACAGATCATATTCAGCCAAACCAAGCCAAGTGAGCGATACAGAACCTATGGACCTATTGTAGTCTCTCTAAGCATGAATAAGAAAATTATGTGTACTCGTTGACGTCTGAAACATTAATATAGTTTTAACGAAACAATAATAAAAAAAAATTCAACAAAGTGCACAAACACAAGATGCACTATGGTCGAGGTTCCACGCCCAACCACGTGACATTTTACCAGTTCACCTACTAAACCACGAAGTTTGTGCACACCTGGATTACAGGTACAATGTGCTTCGCCTAGCAACAAACTGACGTTATACACAGAACACGTTTTTTAAAACAGGTATTTAGATATCAACAGTTATCTAACTTTGACTTTAAAATTATCCATTTAATGAGTTGGGTTTATGTAATAAAGATATGTTATAAATATGATATTATCACCAAGGGGTGGGAGGGGGGGGGCGTTATAGTGTATTATTTATCATTATTATTTGGAGGCAGGTAGTGACAATTGTTTAGATATATTCACTCCGCTCTTCTGCCTGATGTATGGTTCGGATCCCTGTGCATAAATTTGCATTAATTTAGATTGAATGTACAGGGCATATACTCAGAGATATCATCGTGACTTCGCGATTGTCAACAACCTCTTTGCAATCACATCATGATTAGAATGTAAAACTCCTTTTTATGGAATTTCGCACTGAGGATAACTTCGCAAAAAAAAATGCCACAAAATAGGAGCAGTACAATGAACAAAACTTGTAGTGAAACAAACTATATTGACAGATACAGGCTGACCTATCGTGTCTATATTGACAGATACACGCTGACCTATCGTGTTTATATTGACAGATACAGGCTGACCTATCGTGTCTATATTGACAGATACACGCTGACCTATCGTGTCTATATTGGCAGATACACGCTGACCTATCGTGTCTATATTGACAGATACACGCTGACCTATCGTGTCTATATTGACAGATACACGCTGACCTATCGTGTCTATATTGACAGATATACGCTGACCTATCGTGTCTATATTGACAGATATACGCTGACCTATCGTGTCTATATTGACAGATACAGGCTGGCCTATCGTGTCTATATTGACAGATACACGCTGACCTATCGTGTCTATATTGACAGATACACGCTGACCTATCGTGTTTATATTGACAGATACACGCTGATCTATCGTGTCTATATTGACAGATATACGCTGACCTATCGTATCTATATTGACAGATACAGGCTGACCTATCGTGTCTATATTGACAGATACACGCTGACCTATCGTGTCTATATTGACAGATACACGCTGACCTATCGTGTCTATATTGACAGATACACGCTGACCTATCGTGTCTATATTGACAGATACACGCTGATCTATCGTGTCATATTGACAGATACACGCTGACCTATCGTGTCTATATTGACAGATACACGCAGACCTATCGTGTCTATATTGACAGATACACGCTGATCTATCGTGTCATATTGACAGATACACGCTGACCTATCGTGTTTATATTGACAGATACAGGCTGACCTATCGTGTCTATATTGACAGATACACGCTGATCTATCGTGTCTATATTGACAGATACACGCTGATCTATCGTGTCTATATTGACAGATACACGCTGATCTATCGTGTCTATATTGACAGATACACGCTGACCTATCGTGTCTATATTGACAGATACACGCTGACCTATCGTGACTATATTGACAGATACACACTGATCTATCGTGTCTATATTGACAGATACACGCTGATCTATCGTGTCTATATTGACAGATACACGCTGACCTATCGTGTCTATATTGACAGATACACGCTGATCTATCGTGCTGACAGATACACGCTGATCTATCGTGTCTATATTGACAGATACACGCTGACCTATCGTGTCTATATTGACAGATACACGCTGATCTATCGTGTCTATATTGACAGATACACGCTGATCTATCGTGTCTATATTGACAGATACACGCTGACCTATCGTGTCTATATTGACAGATACACGCTGACCTATCGTGTCTATATTGACAGATACACGCTGATCTATCGTGTCTATATTGACAGATACACGCTGATCTATCGTGTCTATATTGACAGATACAGGCTGACCTATCGTGTCTATATTGACAGATACACGCTGACCTATCGTGTTTATATTGACGGATACACGCTGACCTATCGTGTGTACAGATATCTGCTACACTATTGGTTTTTTTATGTTCATTGATATTCAAATGCCCCTTAACCATAGATCAAACAAGTTTTATACAGAATTAGAGCGAGATTGGCATGGGGTGCTATAAGGGAAAATGAAACGTGTATCTTGCATAGAAAGTTTGTGCTTGAACGATCTTAAAGCGGTTGGACAAAAGACACGCAAGAAATTAGAACCTGTTCAATACTTATTTAGAATTAGATACAGATGTCTAAGTGGTTTCGTCCTTCTAGGACTCGTCAGTGATGTTACATCATACAGCTGTTTCGTCCTTCTAGGACTCGTCAGTGATGTTACATCATACAGCTGTTTCGTCCTTCTAGGACTTGTCAGTGATGCTGCATCACACAGTGGTTTCGTCCTTCTAGGACTCGTCAGTGATGATGCATCACACAGAGGTTTCGTCCTTCTAGGACTCGTCAGTGATGATGCATCACACAGAGGTTTCGTCCTTCTAGGACTCGTCAGTGATGCTGCATCACACAGTGGTTTCGTCCTTCTAGGACTCGTTAATGATGCTGCATCATAATGTGGTTTCGTCCTTCTAGGACTCGTCATTGATGCTGCATCACACAGAGGTTTCGTCCTTTTAGGACTCGTCAGGGATGCTGCATCACACAGTGGTTTCGTCCTTCTAGGACTTGTCAGTGATGCTGCACCACACAGTGGTCTCGTCCTTCTAGGACTCGTCAATGGCGCCAAGCGCCTAAATTATTAAACCTTGGTAATTGACCGGAAAAAAATCCGATGAAAACATTAATGATTGGTGTTTACTATTTTAATAAAATCATAACATATGATTTGATCGCGGATTCGAGCAGAAAACTACTTGAAGCTTGCTATACGAAATTGTGTTTGCCGCTAATCATCTATGTGTTTGTATATTGTGTCTATGACGTGTTGTATATTGTGTCTATGACGTGTTGTATATTATGTCTATGACGTGTTGTATATTGTCGCTATGACATGTTGTATATTGTGTCTATGACGTGTTGTATATTGTGTCTATGACGTGTTGTATATTGTGTCTATGACGTGTTGTATATTGTGTCTATGACGTGTTGTATATTGTCGCTATGACATGTTGTATATTGTGTCTATGACGTGTTGTATATTGTGTCTATGACGTGTTGTATATTGTGTCTATGACGTGTTGTATATTATGTCTATGACGTGCTGTATATTGTGTCTATGACGTGCTGTATATTGTGTCTATGACGTGCTGTATATTGTGTCTATGACGTGCTGTATATTGTGTCTATGACGTGCTGTATATTGTGTCTATGACGTGTTGTATATTGTGTCTATGACGTGTTGTATATTGTGTCTATGACGTGCTGTATGCTCTGTAGCTTTTTGACCTGCATGTTAATTACACTTGCTGTGTTGGCTAACAAACCATACAATACTAATAATATAAGCATGATGTATCTTTTGTACTCATTGTTATTTCCATAATACATACTACTTCTCTTCACTGACTAAATCTTAAACATTTTCACTCTTTGCTGAATTACATTTCAAAATATGTCTTTTTCATTATATACAAAATGACTGATTCATCAACAAAATTTGATAATCGTTATATAGTTGATAACGTAATTACATTTAAGTGAAAAAAATAACGATTTATTAATTAATAAATCGTATAATTAAGAGTCAGGAAGTTTTTTTCAGAAGTAAGAATAATTTTGTATTAAAGTAAAACCATTTATTTAGACTATGTTCCGGATTTATGTAGATTTATATTATTACTGATACCACACAGTATCTGGTTTCTATCAGATTTCGTCCTACATTAAAGACGTCTAGTTTTGTTAATGTGAAAATGAACGAACAAAACACTGTAGCCTATCGTTACCATACGATACATCGTTATGTATAACCACGTGATATATAGCGTAATCTGTCACGGAGAGAGTAAAGCATAGTCCGCGCGACTTTTTCTTTTTTCCATATTAAACAAACTGTAAAATCTAATTTGAAATGAAATTTATTTTTAATTTTTGTTTCGGAAATTCTGCTTACAAAAACATTAACTTGGTAAGAAATGTAATTTTTTTTCTCTGATTTTATAAATCAAGAATGAAAGTTTCTCATTCATGGAACAGAAACATTCAGCGTGCTTATACATTTGTAACCTTGCACATATGTATATACCAATATTTGCGTGTCTTTATATATGTAAAACTTGATCTATATGGTAATATAGTATTAACAGGCGTTACATGTTGAATATATTATCGTAATGTACGAGGCGTTCAGAATATACAAAAATAAAACAAAAAATAAAATATTAACAGTTTAATATGCATACTTATATTCGTCAAAAATAATTTTGAAAAGAAAACATACTGCTTTATCACACTACATAAATAAATCCATTTTATCTATTCCTCTTTACCAATAAAAGAAAATATGTTTGTTGTACATAATTATCAAAAAGATTTAGCTGAAAATGGAAATAAGAAATGAAAATATTTTACTTTTTTTGCACTTTTAATATGTTTCGCTTGAGAATTTAAATTTTTACGTGGCATTACCACCATATAAATGCCCCTGTAGACATTGTCGATTACATATATGACAGCATGGCGTTCATTCTGTTATGAACCACATTTCAAAAATATTATAATATGGTAAACGAAATCAGCGATTAAAATACTGTATTGAATACTTCGTCTAGGTATGTTTGAAACAATGAAACTATTTTAATTAATCACTACATGAAATTTCAAACAATGAGAAACATATATAAACACAATTTACATTACTTGGCTTACTGATATATAATCACGTGTTATTTTTTCTTACAGCACTCAAAGGGAATGCAAGCGAATCTGCTTCAAATATATCTCCCGTTCAGAATGGAGGCCTCGGTAAGTAACACTCAAAATACCAGTTGAAATATAACATATTGAAGTCAGGTGTTCTGAGATTTGAATTATATTCTTTCAGATGGTTAAATCTCAGTAGTTATTGTAGTAAATTAATTTTATTTTCATATTTTCCCTTCTGATCTCTGTCTATTTAATGCTGTTAACGTACATGTTCTGATACAGGAACCGATCTCAATGCTGTAGAAACAGGACAAAAAAAAATACAGGCCCATGTGAGATTTTTCACTTCAGAAACGACGACATACTTTCCTTGTCTTTAAGTTTAACATGACTATCTTACACTACAGCTGAATGGGGTATTTCGGTATTTTAACACACAATGACAGTTTTCTTTAAGCATCCATTCCCCGTTGTCTGGTAATGTGGACTTATCTGCCCTTGTGAACAGTTATTGATGTTTACGTCATTTGTTTGTGAGCGAAACGTCATCAGCAAACTTCACACAAATTGATGACGTAACATTTACTAATTATTCATAAGAAAATAAAATGTCATAATTTACTTGAATTTACCAAGATTTACCTGCCGGGTGTCTTCGATTTAGAAAAAAATGCTTTTTTTTCGTTCTGAGACACCTATAGTTATTCTCCTTATATTCTTACAGGAGTCTCCGGGCATTTCCGTTCGTACTGTGCTCTCGTTTAATCTTTGAATTTGAACTAAAATTCTGTTTTCCTGTCAGTTTATTATTTGTTGTTGTTTTGATGTTTACTCCGTTAATATAACTGTATAAATATGAAAACACTTTCTTCTTATTCATTATGAATACTTTAATATCTGATATTTCTTTCCGTTTTTTTTTTCAGAGATATTCATCATACCGTCTGTCGCAGGGTTTGTTTTCTTAGTTAATATGCTTTGTCTTGTTATGTTAACGTGTGGAAGGAGAAAAAGGAGGACGAAACGGTAAGCCCGCTGGCCAGAATATATCAAAACTTGATTTTCTTTTGATTTTCTAATAACCTGTAAAATTATTTTGTCGATGTTTTATTGTTCACAAATGAGTTCGTGGAAAGAGACAGTGAAATAGATATATCTATTTGCATGAAAAATGTATATTTTTAGAGCAAAAGCAATGATTTAGTGAAAAATGCATTTAGAATGCACATACAAGACATCTGAAATCACCACTACACTTTAATGTACCTTCCTAGTAACAGAAATACAAAATGTATCTTATTTTGATCAATAAATGCATAATAAATAAATAAATAAATATAATTAATTAATAACTATATGTGTAGTATACAGTGTGAGAGAATATATTTTTGTCCTAACGACATTTTTCAATATTTTTCAGGGCAACGCCCACCAAAGATGCTGAAAGTCAGGTCCAAAAGTCCCTTTCGACCCCCGTCAAACCCGAGACGGAATCGATGAATAATTTTAAAATTCCCCGTCCAAGTCTCAACACACCTATTTACACAAACGACTACAGTACTTGGGGGTCTTCGTTCTCATCGTTCAGTCCCTATTACGGCTCTGTCGTGTCCTTGAACCCTGAAGAGGTCATGTACGAGGAGATCGATAAAGAGCCAGAAGAACAGGGAGTGGAGAAATAGGTCACGGAGTAAATGTGTCACCTTGACCCAATTCACAGACCAAGTAGTACAAACAAAAAAGATTAGAAATAATTAAAAAAAAAAAAAAAAGAAGAAGTAGAGGATTAACATTTTTGCTCTTTTTTCCTTTTTTTTCAGGATTAACTACATTGCACGTGCATCTCTATTTATAAATCTAATTAATATATATAGATGTAATTGGTTTATGATAAACTATCATATGTTTAAGTTGCAATCTTAAGAACAACGGAATTCCCAGAGTGTAGACTGTGTTTTATGAAAATGCGCGCGTTACTTCTAACGGTGTAGGTAAGTGTTACACCGTTTACAATCATTAATATCTTACTCGTTTAAAAAGTACCTTCTGTGAGTGATGAATACGGTCAGAAATTGTATTGTCTGTTTGTAGATCAGGTTTCGGAAGAAATGTCTTTTTCCCTTGCGTGAATTCGTCTGAACCCCACCCACCAGTGTAACCACACCCACCAGTGTAACCACAATAACAAGTATAACCACACCCACCAGTGTAACCACAATTACAAGTATAACCACACCCGCGAGTGTAACCACACCCACCAGTGTAACCACACCCACCATTGTAATAACACCCGCCAGCGTAACCACACCCACCATTGTAAAAACACCCGCCAGTGTAACCACACCCACCAGTGTAACAACACCCATCAGTGTAACCACACCCACCAGTGTAACCACACCCACCAGTGTCACCACAATTACAAGTATAACCACACCCGCGAGTGAAACCACACCCACCAGTGTAACAACATCCACCAGTGTAACAACACCAACCAGCGTAACCACACCCACCAATGTAAAAACACCCACCAGTGTAACCACACACACCAGTGTAACCACAATTACAAGTTTAACCAATCCCAAAAATGTAACCACACCCACTAGTGTAACCACACCCACAAGTGTAACCATCCCATAAGTGAAGCCACACACACTTTCGTAACCATGTACATAAAAAACAGAACCATTCAAACGACATTTATTTGTTTGCATTAACATGACGGATGTCCTCGATCAAGTGAAACCCTAAATACTCGGCACATTTAGTGGATTGCTGGTGAATACTTCGTTTGAGTATATTTTGTCATAGTTCCGTCGATTTCGGGTTTCAACTAGTAAGATCTTACTAACACGTCAGCTAATACTTTTTTGAAAATTCTATTTTAATTTTGTGACGCCGGAAATGATTTGCAACTTCTTGAGAATGTTGAATTCATAGTTGAACGAATTCTCTGCATGCTTTGTTTTGCAAATTGATGCTCTTGTTTATTGTTTAATTAATTTCTTTGTAATTTTGATATTTTCTTGTGAAATTAAGAATAAGTTTAAATAATGATTTTGCTATATGTGTGAACAGAATGAAAATTAGAATTCCGTTACAACATAATCTCTCACATCCTTTGTGTGCCGTTTGTGAGTAACTGTGTTAATGTCTATTAGCGCCGGACCAATGAGGATATCACGCCTAGCATCTTATAATGCTCAAATATTGAGATAAACCGTGACGGTAGGTCGGTCTGATGGTAAAAAGGACGCACTTGTACATTTCCCATTCGGCTGCAGCTTAGGAGACGAGGTTATGGGTCAGAGACAAGTTTATGGGTCAGAGACAAGGTTCTGAATAAGAGACAAAGTTCTGAATAAGAGACAAGGTTCTGAGTAAGAGACAAGGTTCTGGGTCAGAGACAAGGTTCTGAATAAGAGACAAGGTTCTGAGTTAGAGACAAGGTTCTGAATAAGAGACAAGGTTCTGAGTTAGAGACAAGGTTCTGAATAAGAGACAAGGTTCTGAGTAAGAGACAAGGTTCTGAGTCAGAGACAAGGTTCTGAGTCAGAGACAAGGTTCTGAATAAGAGACAAGGTTCTGAGTCAGAGACAAAGTTCTGAGTCAGAGACAAGGTTCTAGGTCAGTGACAAGGTTCTGAATAAGAAACAAGGTTCTGAGTCAGAGACAAGGTTCTGAATAAGGGACAAGTTTCTGAGTCAGAGACAAGGTTCTGAGTCAGAGACAAATTTCTGAATAAGAGACAAGGTTCTGGTTCAGAGACAAGGTTCTGAGTTAGAGACAAGGTTCTGAGTCAGCGACAAGGTTCGGAGTCAGAGACAAGGTTCGAAGTCAGAGTTCTGAGGCAGAGACAAGGTTCTGAGTCAGAGACAAAGTTCTGAGTCAGAGACAAGGTTCCGTGGCAGCGACAGGGTTTTTGGACAGAGATAAGGCTTTGAATCAGATACAAGTTCCGAGATTTGGATCAGTTGCCCGACTGAGTGGCTACATCACCAAGTATAATAACTGTAAAGCTGCAGGGCCGACTGATGACTACCACATACATATGTTCAGAGAGGTCTTTCATATTTTCATTTGTTCATTAAATAGATATTTTTTAATTTATTTTTATAAGATTTATTTGTTCATTTTCCTTTTTTAAATCATGATTCTCGAGAAAAATATCTATTTTTGTATTTCTAAAAGAAACCATTTAAGCTTTGGTAAAAGATAACGTCGTTTTTCGCCAAATCTGATCAAGTAAGTTAATCAACAACCAATAATTTACATTTATCTTTATAAATAGACTATTTTAACCATTAAAGTTTTGTTCAAGTCAAACCACTTTTCTATTAAAATGAAATTGTCTCCTTACCTCGTAATATTTTGATTACTAATAAAGTTTGTATACTAATCTATGACTTTAAGTTTTGAAAGGACTAAAGATACCAAGCTAAACCTATTAAAGTATTTTGTCAAATTTGAAGAAATATCTTTTATGTAGTAGCAACCAAATTTGAAAGTAAAGGGGAGACAACTCCGAGTAACAGATATGTAATGTCGATGAAATTATTTGAAATTTGCTAGACGGTAGTCGAATGCAGCTTTCTATGCAAGAAAAACAATATAGTTTATTTTTTTCTCAACGATCTAGCAACTCGTGAATGAAATAATTTAAATGTTGAAATATTATTAATCCTGTAACTCTCCTTTTATTAGTGTTTAAACCCCCAGTCTATAATATTGTTTTAACCATACGAGAAAAATCACCTAGCGGCCCTGTGATTGGTTCGGGATTTCCTTTGTTTCAAACATGATGTCATAGCTTAATGACATAATATGCATTGTGACGTCACCATAGAAAGTGATATTTCATGTAGTTGAGAATATCACAATAGTTGACTGAATCTCGACACGAAATTTCCATTTTTTAGTAAGAGGTTAATTTCATCAATCTTATAAAAAAAAATAGTCCATGATTCAATATTTATTTTCTCAGAATATTTACCTTCATATTAAGAATTCATTATTTTTTCATATCGGTAAATAAAGGGATGTTTTCTTCTCAATCAGCAAATCAAGTTATGGTTTGTAGCACAATAAACGATAGCTATGCATACGTTTTTATTAACCGGTTTTGTCAAAGTATTTAATACATTGTTTCTGTATATGTTCCTTGTCGTATGATAACATGTTATGTCTCTGACATCGCTCTGTTTTTATTAGAATTATATTAACAACATATTCATGGCTAATAAATACAAAATACTCCTAATTTGCCTTAAATTTTGTGATTATTTTCCGCACAGAACACATAACCAGGGTACAGACATTTGTCTCCAGAATACCTACTTTAGGTCGGAATTATGTTACAGAGGAGTCGTTCCTGTCTCCTTCAGTTCCTTCTGTTTCATTTTCATCTTATTTATTCATATCAATTTTCTCTGTAAGAGAAACAATAAGATTATGTATAATTATATCATCATCTGAAATTTAAAAAACATTGCATATATGTTATTCTATTTTTTTTCTTTGTCTGTGTAAATGTGAAAATAAAATGTCTTTGCTTTGTATTCTATTGTGATTGTTCTTTATGGAGCTTGTTATAGTTTGCCTGATTTTTCGTAGTTATGTACCTTGTTCTCATTTGAGAACGTCCAATCCCATCACCAACTTTGACCAAGGTTTACATTACGGGTGTCGTCGTTGAAGCAGGAGATGCTTACTCTTACGGAACACCTGGTCTTATTCTTCTTGTACTTTTTCATGAGTTTCCGTGTAAATCTTTGATTTATTTATATTCAATCCTAGCTTTATTGCATTTGAGTTTAGATTTTTTTTTCGAGGAAGAGACGGGGGTGGAGGGGGAGGGGTGGAGTTTGGGGGGGTTGGAGTTGGGGGGGGTAATTATCATGTTTACTCTACTTGTTGGTATTGTCTGGTCGTTTTGATTTTGTCCGGTTGTTAGAACAATGGTAGTACAGTCGGTAGGGCAATATTTTGCATCAGGTGAAGATTCGTAAATAACACTGTTTAATTTCATTCACGTCTTGTTTCCTTTTTTATAATTACATTTTGTTTGTTTCTTTATGTCCAATGATATCATTTCTTTTTCATTCACAGTCATCTGGAATTCTTGCTTTGATTCTGTTTCATAATTACAATGTTTCGTATCACGTACACCCATGACGTCTAACATTACAGTTTGTTTTTCAGTATTTTCAATTAAATGTTTCTTGTTTTATGTCGTCTCCAATTGTACATCTGTCTAAGCTATATCATATTTATCTGTTCTTCTCTTCTATTGTCTACTTCACGTCATTTTCAAAGGATCTGAACACATCATCCATTTTACCTCATTACTCCTATTTTTCGTTTACTAGCAAACCCCGGTTGCTAATAATATGAATACTATAGTTTCCAATATTTATGATTTTTGATTTTGTATACTATTGATAGATCAATATTATTTGTTTTAAAAATTAATATTATATGTTAAAAGGTCAGTTAAAAGACGGTAACACATCATGAAAAAATAGGAAACATGCTAAAACGGCATTAAGATATAACTGATATTAATCTGTTCGGACAAAGATGAAGATAACGTCGAATATCATTCATCTATCATATATACACTAAAACCTCATTATCTCGAACTCAGCGGGATCATGTGAAAACTTCGAGATAACCGAGTAACGAATTTAAGTGAGTTCGAATGTCTTGTGTAAAGTCAGGAAGACACCGACAATAATGGTATTCAAGTTATACGTTTCCGAGATAACGAGGTTCGACTTAAACTGGATTTTGCTCCCTTATGATAAAGAATACCGCATGCTGAAATGTCATTATCTTAAAAAATCAATTGACTTTAAGTAAATTTTGAGCAAGTGTAAAATTCATTAAAAAGACGTATCAGGTAATTTCTTAAGGCAAGCGTCGTATTTTATACCAATTCATTGCATTCTATCATTTTAAATCATTATAAAACATTAAAAAGTCCTATAATTTTTTCTTAAACGACAGTAATCGTTTTAGAAATATTAATGAAAAATATGATCTATGTCAATTTTTTTCTTCTTTTTGATATTTCAAATATGTAAATGGAGGTTTCCTAAACACCAACCAAGGTGTATGTTATTAATTACTACAAATGAATCCATTCTATTTGTTTTGTGGTATTATAGTTGTAATCACTATTATATAAGGTTACTTATTATAAACCTCAGCGCTGGGGTGAGATTGCCACAGACGTAATAAACATATTTTAGCTAGAGAGAATAACCATTGTACAGTCTTCCTTCAAACATAAATTGACTGTTGTAACTGAGTTGTCATTTTTTAGCAACGCCTACAACAACCACGCCCACAACAACGACAACCACGCCCACAACGACGACAACCACGCCAACAACGACGACAACCACGCCAACAACGACGACAACCACTCCAACAACAACGACAACCACGCCCACGACGACGACAACCACTCCAACAACGACGACAACCACGCCCACAACGACGACAACCACTCCAACAACGACGACAACAACGCCAACAACGACGACAACCACTCCAACAACAACGACAACCACGCCCACAACGACGACAACCACGCCATCAACAACGACAACAACACCAACAACTACGACAACCACGCCAACAACAACGACAACCACTCCAACAACGACGACAACCACTCCAGCAACGACGACAACCACTCCAACAACGACGACAACCACGCCCACAACGACGACAACCACGCCAACAACGACGACAACCACGCCCACAACGACGACAACCACGCCCACAACAACGACAACCACTCCAACAACAACGACAACCACGCCCACAACGACAACTACTTCTCCTTTCGTCCCTGTGTATGCTTCCTGTACCAGCCATGCTCATTGTCCACCAAACTCTATGTGCCGTCCGAATGCTTGTAAAGGATTCACGTGTCTCTGTGACGTAGGCTTTATGGTCTCGCGAGATTCATTTTCTTGTATAAAAGGTATCTAATCTTTAACATGTACGTTAAGATTAAAAAGAAATATTACATCGGATTTTGAATCTTCTGTTGAATTAATACTGATTCTTAAAAAATTATATCTCATAAAAAAAAAGTCTCTGAAGTGTGTTAATATTTATTTCTCATTATTCAATATTATGTGCAACATCCTCATCGTTCTTGATTTAGCTTCCAGGGTTGGTGAACAATGTCATCCAAAAGAGACTCTCTGTATTTCGCCTTTTTCCGGATGTTTGGAGACCTGTCAATGTTATGACGCTTTCGTTCCTACACTACAAGGACAATGCAAGCTTGCCTCGGCAAGTTTCGTAGGAGAATCGTGTGGAACTATGGGATGTGAATATCCAGCAAAATGCATAGCGGGAAAATGCACGTGTATGCCTCCCTTCCGTTCAATGACGGAAGAGGAGTTCTGGGTTGACCCTTTAATAACAATGCAATGTCAAAGGGAGGATTTTTCTCTCTGTAAGTATCATGTTATTCAAGCTAATTTTGTATTGCAATAGTAAATCTGGTCATTTTCGAGTGAAATGATTCTAAATCACAAACTTGTTGATCAATTATTGTATAAAAAGATGTGAAGTATACAGATAGTATGATCCATTAAACCCATATTATATTTTCATAGTGATGTATACGTATGTAGATCTTTGATATTTACAGTCGGTAAAAGTACAAAGAAATTTGTTGCTGTTATAAGTCAGAGTATTTATCTACAATATGATACCTTTCTTATATATACACGTTTAACGACTTAAAAAATCGATAAGTTAACAGATGTAATTCACTAGCAAGAAATACAGGCTGAAGACCGAACCCTTAAATCTTAGTTTCAGTGATAAGATAAGACACTCTGTTGTTGTAGGGAAATGTAATGGAACCCTGATAGATATACCAGAAGAGATGCGGACAACAACATCAACGACAACGGGTATGTCACACTGTATAGATTTCTATAAATATATAGAACATTGTAGCGTGTCAGTATACAAAATGTTTATTCATTTTATTAATTTCTCAGTGTTTTCTTATTTATTTCTCTAAACTATTTTTATTAATTTTTCTATTTATATATATATATATATATTCTCTATTTTTTTCTATTTTTTTTTTTTTAATATTTCTCTATTCTTTTTTATTTATTTCTCTATTTTTTATATGTTTCTCTATTTTTTTTTATTTATTTCTCTATTGTTTTTTTTATAATTTTCTCTAATTTTCTATTCATTTCTCTATTTTGTGTATTTATCCCAGTAAGAAAGTATCTCTATAAACCGCGAAAAAACACATTATTCTCCCTTAGTATATGCACAGCGCCAGCTTGATGATCAAATATACAGGGAGGAACAAAAACAAATAAAACAAAGAGTGACTATTTGTGAGAACTGAATTTGACATTCGCTGACAGTAACGACATTGAATTAGTTTTATATTGATAAATACCAAATAAGGATGGAACACAAAAAAAACATCAGAGGTCTCTAATGTTCTGATGCGCTGTATTATATAACCGTGTGTTACATTTAATCGAGTTGTAAAAATGTACAATCGAACTCCGTTATGTCGAAGTCTGTAGAAAAACGTCGAATTATCCATGCATTCCATATAAATGTACAATCGAACTCCGTTATGTCGAAGTCTGTAGGAAAACGTCGAGTTATCCATGCATTCCATTTAAATGTTCAATCGAACTCCGTTATGTCGAAGTCTGTAGAAAAACGTCGAGTTATCCATGCATTCCATTTAAATGAATTCAAATTTTTGGTGTGAATATTTACCGACGAAATACTTCGTATTAAACGGGATGTTCTAGTTATACGAGTTTGATATAACAAAGTTATTCTGTTATTTAATAAAAGAAAATAAAACTGGATCGTAAGAATATAACTTTGTGGTTAGATATTCCGGAGCTGTTAGCTTAAAAGACAAAAGACATGCTATAGGAAGTCGACACTCAAATCCAGCATAATTGGGGGGAAAATGATTTCAATGTTTGCAGTCAGTGTTCGATAAACATTAACTCTATATATGTCGTAACATTTTAGAACCGACGACAACAACGGAAATGAAAACAACAACAACAACTGAAACGATAATACAATTGACAACAACTACGGAGGCCATTACCACAACAACAACAGAGGCAGTCATCACCACCACAACAACGGAAACCATGACAACGGAGACTCCAACAACAACAACTGCCCTAGTAACAACAATTACAACAACAGGGTTAACAACTACTACTGACCGTATGAAAGTCAATGTATTTGATGGATGTAGAAGGCATGAGGAATGTCCGGACAACTCGAAATGTCGCCCGAACTCTTGTGAAGGGTTTGTTTGTCTGTGTAGAGAGGGTTACTTGAGTTCTGCAGACAAAACACAGTGTTTGATCGGTATGTGAATCTATTCTATACAATATACAGTTTACAGACTTTAATATAGATCAGAACAAAATGATTGTCTCTTATTTTACCTAATGTGACTCTATCATCACTGGTTAAGTCAAGAAAATGGAAATAAATTGTGTATTTAAATCACCACAGGTTTAAATAGGTTCGATTAGATCAAACTAGAACCTACTGTTCAGAGAATATTTATGTGAGTAATTCCGGAAATATCTGTTTCAGCTAGTCGAATAGGAGATCTTTGTGACGACCACACTAAATGTATGTCCCCATTCGCTGGTTGTCAGTCTACGTGCAAATGTTACGACCTCTTTGTTGCATCTGCTGACGGTCGGTGTAAACTCTGGTCGTCTGCCTTCGTCGGTGAACCTTGTGGAGAAAAAGGATGCGAGTTTCCTGCCAAATGTAGCGATGGGATTTGTCAATGTGTAGCGCCATATAGAAAAATGACAACAGAGGAATTCTGGGTTAACCCACTAGAAACATCACAATGCCATGATACCAACTTCTCTTTAGGTAAGTTACCAAATTAATACGTTGTATAGAAAACAAAGAAAGCAGTTGTGTGTTAAAACAAATTCATCTATTGATACAAAAGCGGACAGCAGATTTTATGAATGCGATTTTTCCAAACTGATGTTTGCAAATTTCTTTCGAAAATTCCTGTTATCCTGTTTCATATCAATTGAATGCTTTTCTAATACCTGCCTTGTTCCGATTTCAGTGATGTGCAAAGGAAAGTATATTGATGTTCCGGAGCCTCTATCCGACGAATGGCAGGAATTACTCAAAGGTGATTTATTTCTGAAAGTACTTTGCATATTTTTGCCGTACATACTAGCATTGTATTTAATTGGGAGTATTTATGTGTAGAGTGACGAAGGTTTAGTTAAACGCTTTTTTTCATTTTCATTTCTTTTCCATTCCGGTTCTACATACGTTTAAACTCATGTTCCGCCAAAGGAAAGAAAAATGTTGGATAGTAACACTAGACGATACAATTTCATTCAAGCATATACTCTTTCTATTACCGACAAGTTACTTGTATCATACCCTTGGGGAACGTCTGGTCATATAATCTTTCCATGCTTTCAGGAGAGTCTGTGTTAGTCTTTCTGTTCTTCATATTCTTTCCTTGTTTCACAGACTTTTAGTTTTAATTAAGATTTTTGCTAATGTTATCGTATCACTGTATAATAAAATAAACGTTTATTTAGGAAATTCATTATTTTGACTTAATGAGACCAGCTTTGCACATTTTCAAAATTGATAAAGTGTATATATATATATATTCTATTGTGATAAGAATACATAAATCTCATGACAGGCCATAGGAATAGTATAACTTGTTTAAAGAAAAGACCATATTTTTTGTTAGAACTCTGACGGTGCCACATCATCAAAGTCTTAAAAGTCATACTGAAATGATGAACTGTTAAAGGTGTGATATGTTATGTTGTTTTTCATAACGTGGAGTGAGACCATGATGATACCAATTTTGTTTGCACGGTGGATCTCATTATGACGTCATATTGTACTGACCAATGATGTCCCGATGCTTCATTTCATTGACATGAGTTAAATGGTGTCATGACGTTAATGAATTGTTACTGTGACGTCACATCATTATTCTGTCATGGAAAACCCCCGTCTCGACCCAAGGGCGAGACAAGAAAATCTCACATTGTTAAAAAGCAAAGATTTTTCTTTCCAAGGTAGGAGGAAAAGAAAGACCTACCGAGGTATATACATTTATCTCAAAACATGACAGTAGTATACAAAAATATATCTCAATATTGACAGATTTTTTTATTTATTAGAACATGGGCCTGGTTCATATATTTAAACAACTGAGAATACTTTCAGAAATTCTTAAAATCTTTGATTTACCAGCAAAAAGGCTAGCAGAAATGGGCACATCTTTAAGCCTGGAACAGACGACTGAGGTGACGCCTACGACAAAACAACATACGACCGTTCCGTCAACGTTGTCTTGGTTACAAGCCGGAAATGACGACATAGGAGCAGATCTGAACAAGAATCCAAATAGTCGAAAACTTTATACACCCTGTACGAGTCACAGTCAGTGTCCAACGTCCGCCAGGTGTCGCCCTAATGCCTGTGAAGGCTTTGTGTGTTTATGTGAAAAATACCACACAGCCTCAGATGATAACAGTTTCTGTTTTCATGGTAAGGGAGATAACTCTATGACACTCAGTTGCTGTCCTGATCAAAACATATGTTGAAAACGATGTTTCGTGAATTAATCAATGCTTTAAATTACTATTTATAGAATTGATTAATAACGAAATAACATAGCTGAACTGCGACATGCGTAAGAGATCAACAATATCGACTGAAACAAACAGAAAGCAAAGAAAAAAATAATTACAATCAACACAATTCTATGGCTGAAATATATTTGTTTAAATTCAATATCGAGAGTTTATCAAAGATAATTTTCTTGGTATTTTTCAAATTATTTTTATTTAACGATGTTTGCGTT